TCCTTTTTGTTGTATAATTTGTTTCGATATTGTTACATCGGTCATTCTATCCAGATACTTTGTCCTGTTTGTCTATATTTGTCTGCTTTCTTTTTTTAACCTAATTATATTTTCAGTTCTTTCATGTGTTCGTATGGGAAATTAAGGGTATATATTTAATACTAGTTTTAAACATTTTTAAACTTAACAAAAGGAGGTATAGCCCAAAATTCTTCTCTTCTTTAATATTATTTCCAGGGGCGGCCCGTGTATACGCACTGCGGAACTGCAGCACCCCCAATTTCCACTTGATGTTATCGATAACATTTATATAATGAGTCCTTTTTTCTTTAATTCTTTCTTTATACTTGTATGATACAATATATAATCCTTAAACTTAATGTCAGTAGCCATCTTTGTATGGAACTGTGCGCTTCTGGAGCAGCACCCCCACTAATTTCAGCTACGAGCCACCACTGATTATTTCAACTCTGCTACTAGGTAAATTTGGTTTATTGTTAAGTGTACAGAGGAAACATAGGTTTCATGTATAGAAGTGGGCTGATTTCAAAGTTATTTTCTTTTTAGTTTTAAGGATTCCATCCTGTTGCATATATACAATGAACATATAATTTTTGCCGTCAACGCAACAATATTTTATTATATATTTATTTATATATATATATATTTTTTCATCAGTAATCTGTCATACGACAGGCCCACAGTCTCTTCCAAGACAGTTCCTCCACTTAATGTGATCTAGAGCTTTCTCCTTCAAATGAGAATATTCTCTTCTGTCCCCAAGGTCATCCAGCATTTTCTTACGTCTTTTTCCTCGTCTTCTGGTCGCATACATATATAATATATAATAAATTATTTATATAATATATAATTTTTACCGTCAACGCAACAATACTTCATTATTTATTTATTTACATATAAATAAATAATAAAGTATTACAGTATATTATATATTCATTGATTTAAAGTGTTTTCGGGATGGTTTTTGCCAACCCCATATAGAGGGGAGTATGGATTTAAGAAGGGATGCCAGCCGAGAAGGATACAATTAACACAGGATCAGAAAGATTCTCTGAATGCGGATTCACATATTACGCACAGATGTAAAAATTTGTACCCTCAGTTACTAAGCATTTGTGTGGCTGATAAATTTAGAGAGCCTGTAATACATAGACCTACTACCGAACCTTTACTTCGAGGTTCAGAATTCGTTAAACCTGACAATCCCATTAAGAAACTGAAGCAGGTATCAGTTTAATTCAGTTCCACTCATATTCACAGGCCGGAGGACACTGTATTCAGATACGAATATAATTATTATCGGTATATTAATTATAGAAGAATATTCAGAATGCAGAATCTGTTACTGCCTCTAGTTGCAAAATTTGTTTGTTTTTTTTTGGGGGGGGGGAGGTGTAAACTTAACTGCAGTATTTTTCGATGAATATCTCATTTGTCAACTTCAAGTAACATTTTATCCAGCGACTTTTAGGCGTGAGTTTATTCCTGAATGGAATTGTTTGTGATTAAAAATGCCTTATCGATCGTAACAGGAAAATTATTAATTAAATCCCAGGCCGTGCCATAGCTTAGGCGGTTATTCTCTGGTTTCCCACCGTGGTGGCCAGGTTCGAGCGCGGGTCAGGTCATGTGTGATTTGTGGTGGACAAAATGGCACTGGAGCAATTTTTTTTTCCGAGTGCTTCGATTCCCCTGCCAATTCCATCGATTGCTCCACAATTATCATCATCATCTGTCATCTGAGGCCGGTACAATAGGGCAAACAGTGGTCGCAGCACCAAGTTCACTCAGTCTCATCCCACGAGAAAAATAAAAAAATTCTTTCCATTCGTCAGCTGACTTTTATTTTTTAGATCAGCTTCAGTTTAAATCTGTCTTAAAAATTAACATTCTGAAAACTCACACTTGCAAGTAAGACAGAACTCTTAGAAGTATATGGCAACACTTCACACAATATGGAAAACCTCGAAAGTGAATCATCTAATTTTCTGCAAGAACTGGAAAGAGAACATTCAAATGCTCAGGCAACGGAAAATTAATCAGAAACAGGAGTGTAATTATCACTATATCAAACACTACATTTAAGAAAAGCCTGATTCTGTTAGAAGATAACGTATATATAACGTCTTCCGGTCTAGAAAACCGAGATTAACAGCCGTGGGGATCCGTTGCGCTGACCACGCGACACTCTCTATCCGAAGTTGGCACTAACTTCGCCGACAAGCGGTGGTCTCTCGGTCGGTATAGTTCGCTTGCCGACTGCGGGCCACGGAGTTTGTTTCTTGTTTGTATAACGTCTGAGTTGAAAATACCCAAGAAAGGTTTGAAGGTGAATTCAAGTGTGTACACATGACATGCATAGTACAGTTCGTATAGGCAGATACTTTTTCGTAGCCGATCACGGTGGCCGCGCGTTCTAAGGCATGCACCGTCTTCGCCCTCTCAGACACTGGGGTCGTGGGTTTGAATCCCACTAGAGGCATAGATGTCTTTGTGTGTTTATCCAGTGTTTATGTTCTGTGTATGGATAGAGGCCTTAGGACGGGCTGATCCCCCGTCCAAGGAATCCTACACACTGTGTATAGGATTAAGAAACTGAAAAGCGGCCAAGGCCCAAGATATGCCTGTAGACAGACAGACCAGATAGATAGATAAATAGATAGATACTCGTAAGTTAGGCATCTACGACTGACAGTATGGTAGAACAAGGAGTCGGGTAAGGTCGAGCGAAACAACAAAGACTGGAATATAACACTGAGATTTTATTAAATATGTGTGGTATAAGAAACAGACAAGAGTTCTCTCTTCTGGGATAGAATGCCGTGTAGTGTGTTGAAAGTCAACCGACGTTTCGGAGGAACATATCGCCGCTATCTTCAGGGTCGAAGAATAAGACAAGCAAGTGGCAAGCAGAGCGCAAACAGATGTGCGTGCCATCTGTTTTCACGCTGGTTTCTTGCTCATTTTATTATTCGGCCCTGAAGATGCAGGCGATATCTTCCTTCGAAACATCAGTTGACTTTCAACGGACTACTCGGCGTTATATCCCAGAAGATAGAACTCTTAACTGTCACCGCTGTGAGAACCTCAAATGAGTTTAAATTTTAATACTATTTAAATAAAATCAGGGCTGAGAACGAGTACTTTTGCTAGTAAAACATTTTTTTTTTGCGTCATAAGTTAAATCTAAAGTGAATAATAATCACGTTTTTGCACTCTATTATATTCAGTTTTCTCCCTCACATCCAACTTTACATCAGTTCCCTAGTCCGGCGGGGGGGGGGNGGGGGGAACTTACTGTGTCAGCTATTCCTCCCTCTACCAAAATGTTCTGAGACGGTAAGGAAAAGAGTAGGATTTTTTGTTTTGTTAAACAAATAATGATTAGGGGACCAAAATAATACCCAGAACTGTTGGTCAATAACGAAATACCTTGCACTTAAAACAGCGTTTTGAGTGGGCGTGTGACCAACTTCTCACTTGGGGTGTATTATTTATCTGCTGACAAACTAACCTAGTGGAGGGTCTGACAAATGGGATCTCTCTGAATAGTGACAAGGGAGCATTGTTGCTTACTTTGCTTGACTAAAGCCGCTTGCTGTTTGTACCGGGAGGGAGGCATTGTGTTGTCCGCTATAGCGGCGCTAGTTACCATTGTGTACGTTCCAAGCACTTACCTCACAAATGAGTCGCAGCGTTTTGTTCACATTATATTCTGTACCTTCTGTACCATACCTGGTTGCTGAATATACGTGCCTCCGATTTATTACATAGGCCACCGTACTTAGATAATAGTGTAGGACATCAGCTCACTTAGGTTTAGTCTGAAACACGTGCAGCAGCCGACTGTAGCTCCCATTCATATGTACAAATAATTGGTGCGGGCTTGTTGTCAGTGTGTATTATGCATGTACGTATCACACCTGAAATTTTAGCCGTTGTAGAATGAAGAAGGATGTGATGGACGAGCCATGGAACACTCATGGGAGAGATATGAGAAGTGCATAAAGCATTTAACCTAAAAGGAAAGGACTACTTCGGAAACCTAGGAGTACGTGTGAGAATAATATTAGAAAAGTGTTTTATATAAGTGAGCTAAAGTACAGCTAAATTGTCCCTATGCTTAATTTATTAAGCACCATGCCATAGAGACGTATGGAGGAGTGGTGGTGTATTTTCACCATTCCTGACTTCGGTAGTAAATGGAAGTTTGTGGTCAGCTTCACGCCTCTTTTTCTGCCCCTGCCACTGCCACTACCCCTGCTCCTGCCCCTGCCCTTGCTGCGCATTGGATAGGAGGCTGGATGGGCCCGAGAACCTATCTGGATGCTGCGGAGTAGTGAAAAATTTCTTTCTCCTGAATGCTGGCCATCCAGTCCATCCCCATACTGTTTGATCTATCCCAACAGTTTTTAAATAAATGGCATAAAATGAATAAATGTGTGGATTAGATTCATTTGGCAAAGAATAGGTACTAGTGGCAAATTGCTGTGACCAAGGTAATGGACATTTAATCTCTATAAAGGATCAAGAATGTCTTATCCAGAAGAATGATTATTAGCTTCTTGAGTGCTATGTTCCAAATAGTGACATAAAATAATTGTTGGAAATTAGAAAAACATTACATTGAAACCTTTACAAATAAGATATTTATACAGACCACGTGCATGCACATATGTGTGTGTGTTTCATTTTCTCTCAGTCCATATATTGTCAGTCTTTCCACAAAGTGCATAATGTGAGTGCACAACGATAATTTGTGTTATTCCATCACTTCATCTCCAAAACTATTGAAGGGATTTAGATGAAATTTAACACTGAACATTTTCACTAGTTGTTGTCCGACAAATTTATTTCTTGCTCCTGCCAGTTCAATATAACCTGTAACTATAAATAAAGCTCATTTAAATGTGATCATGCTTTGTCCGAATATGGCCCACAACATTTTGAATTAATAAAGCATATTTCCTTCCTTCCAGGCTTCGAGATGGTGAGAGGCTGACATTGACTCCAGATCATTATGAAGGAGGAACGATCGACCAGCCAACATTAATGATAAAGAATTCAACCCGACATGACCAAGGAGTGTATACTTGTGAACTGAGGAACAAAGTGGGAAGTCAGGAATCTAACAGTGCGGTCTATGTTGCCATCTACTGTAAGTAAGATTTTGTGTTGCATGGGAGGGCATAGGGACTGCTTGCTGGTTTGAGGGTTCTAACATTTTGTTTCTTAGTGGAACTCAAATATTCAGTACCCGTAACACCAAAGCCTGTTGGTCAACATGACCCTGGGCCAGTTGATTCATTTCACATCCTCAATCTGTTTGCCTTTGATCCAATTTAATATTATCCTCTCATCTTCTCAGTCTTCCAAGTGGGTATTTCCTGTGAGATTTCTCCATCAGAAGTCTGTATACCTTCATGTTTCCCTGTTTGAGTTATAAATCTGCTCAACTCTAGCAATGTAAGATGTCCTGAATAGATCACAAAGTTCATTATTATCTAATAACTTTTATTTTTCATTTTTTCACATTCCTTGAATACTAAATCAAAAGAGAACTAAAAAAAGCCCCAATTAAAATCTAAAATTAACTGAAGATAATAATACAATAATCCTATTTATTACAGGGTATCTGAAACTAGAGAAAGTCATTTGTTATTAGAAGAAATACAAATATAACTTAGAATAGAATTATTTAGAAGAAGAATAAAGTTTAGGGGTTTGTTATAATAAAGGATGAGGTGATTCATGCATATTTAGGCAACAATATTGTTGCTATTCAAAAACAAATTATGGGCATGGGGCAGTCACTGATTATGGAAATGTCAATAAAGAGCATCTGTAATTTCTTATACTGCCACGTATACACATGTACATGTGACAAAAATAATGGGTTCTAGTTCAGATGATTTAATTTATTGGCACTTCGGTTACAATTTCCCTTAATTACAATTAATACAGAACTATTGCTGAATTACACACTTTCCAGTTCACCATTGCACACGCACTACGTTTCTCTGTCTTCACTAGTCGTCCCCTGGAAATGGATCTCAATACAGAAACTAGTACTTCAAATCACTATGAAGTCTTCTTGCCATTTCTTGCTCAATCACCCTGGAACCTCGGAAATGAACCAAGAAATCTTCTTGACTTTTCTTAGCTGCAAGCGGACTCATGTTATATAGCCATGGCACAGATAACGCAGAAATCACAGTTGTACTGTAGCGTAACACAGACCACACAGAAAACACCAGTCACATGATAGCTAAGCACTGTCTGTATGTAAGGTCATTGTGTCTGCATGGAAGTGTTTACCGAGCCGTTGCCTAGAAGTGGGTTGCACAACCCAATTTTTCCATTGTTGCTTGTGTGTATTACCTAGAAATGGCTCTTTCTATGGCTCAACCGTTCTTGCAAATATGCCACAATACACATCTACAATTTAATTAAAATGGTATTGCACCATGACAAAAATAGACACACCACACAGTATTCTGTTCACTGCTTCGAAAGTGAAGATGGTTTGAGCCAAAGCTACCAATTTTGAGTTTTTCACATGCTTTGATAATTAGTGTTTTATGAGGTTACATTTTCAGTGATTCTGACAAACTATATTGTGCAAATTTTCAGAGAAGACTTAAGAAAGATTATGCTGATTGTCTTTTATTATTATTGGATCTCTTCAACAGATGCCTCCCTCTCACGCCTAACAATTTTCCACAAAAAAAGAGAGAGAACTCCCACATCAGTCACTGAACAAGATCGACCATTTCGCACAACACACTTCAGGGCGTAGTATTTGCTGCTTGGGCCCATAACCTGTTAATTTATTATTTTGTAAAACTTTGTTTCTTTGTCTTTGTATGAAGAGGCATCAGGTAAACAAACTAGGACACTACATGGCTGCTACATGACTGTTTCTTTCACTACAGTACACATTTCCACCATGCTTCTGAAAATGGGGTAACAATACTCTCCAAGAATCCTAAAACACAGTAAGCATAACTTTTCCAGTCATGGCGTAACCTTAAACTTTTCGGTTGAAGGTGAACTGGGTTGTTTCCATTGCATTGAAGCACACTTTAATTCGGGGTGGTCGTCCCCAGTAACTCTCCTGTTAAGCATATATTCTCCTTCATCTGCATATTGTGAGAGATGTTGCAAGGACAGACCCACTCAGTTCTCTGGGCACTCACCTTGCAAACACTTTCCAAAAGTTCAAGTGATCATGCATTATGCTGTGTGTTTAAACCATGGGAACACCCTAGTGCTGTTACTACACTGTCATTATCCTACTGTCTGTTTGAATACACTCTTCCACACACTGCACAGTTTCATCTGTTGTGATCTTCATAGGGAAGTCTGGTCGGGCATCATCTGTGTCTTTTGAATATCATTAAAAGAATTTCTCAACTCAGATGTGAACACTGCTTAATGTGATAAATACTTCCCACTCTAAACAGGAATCATTTCTGTATGAAAATCCTTCGCACTGAGTCCTTTTGCCCACAGAAAATGCACAACAGAACGCTGCTCTTCATTAGTATACCCTCAAGCACAGATTCCATTTTGACTACAAAAACCAAAATCTGAACATGCGCATGCGCACCACCTACCTAGACTGTCATGAAGCTTGACTCTGCTGCTACTAGTGAAACACATAGAAAACATATTATATTCATTACAGCTGTTTTACTTTCATTGTGACCTATTTGCTGACTCTCCCTCATATATTATGGTTCTTCAGATGGCATTATTAATATGGGTAACAGTATCTTTCAGCATCAAATTTCATACAACAGCCTACAACAATAGAACATCCATCACAAATTTGAGGTAAAAATATGAATACTTCAATAAAAGTTGTGTTTTGTTTGAATATTTAGGTTCCACTAAACACTTCAGAATTGAATACTAAAATGGACAATCATATCTGCTGCAAACGCTTCCCTGGTACTGTGACAAAGGATTAGAATGTGTACACTTCCTTTGTGAAAAGTACATGAAGTAACACATGTATCTAAGAAAACATCTGTGTATGCCCTTGTTTGATCTCCTAAAACTACTAAATTGAACTTGATTAAATGTAATATCATACGTTGTACACTAATGTTGCCAGGTGGGTTTAATTTTGGTCTGTATTAGTCCAACGTACCTCCTCCCCTTGTAACATTCTTTTGACTATAATAAACAATTCCACATTGTATTTACAGTGTAATAATTTGATGCACTCACTATTTCAAATACAATCCTTAAAATTGATAAAAATGAAATAAATTATTTCATGTATCATAATTGCCTGGTGGCAACAAAATATTGTCGAAACATGTAACTTGGTAACTGTAATAATGTATAACATTTTACATGTTGATGTTGATAGAAAAAAAAAATCCCTCAACTGAGAATGCTCATAATGCCTTGCACTAACTCAATTTAAATTACTCTTATTGTACGTGAACATCAGTTGGAATTGTTCATTTTCTTAAAGAATTCCTGATTGTACATGCATTTTTATAGGATATAAACTGTAGATATCATGAAGATATGGAACTTTGATTTGAAATTATTTTTGATATGGTGAATATTAAATGAAACATAAAGGAAAATGTGTATGAGTCAGTAAAATGATTGAAGCAGTTTTGCTTGATTTGAAAAATATAGTACTCTTTGGAGTACATCTTCTCTTTCTTGCCTCTACCCATGAAGATACACTTGATTATTCATTCATTCATTCATTCATTTCACTTTCTAATTGATCCTGATACAGGCATAATACAAGCCATAGGATATAGAATGAGTCACAAGATAGTAGATTACAAGATTAATCACAAGATTAGTTGATAACAGAGACTTAACAGAATAGCAGTGCCACCTACAACAGCAGTCATCTTGAATTTGACATTTGTTGTTGCAGTCAAACCAATTGTGCAGCTGACAATGGAACCACCAACACCCGTGAGCGAGTTGGACAGACTGAACATAACACTGATGTGCAAGGTGGAGTCTGGGAATCCTGATATCTTGCAGGCTGTGCGCTGGTACTTGGATGGGGAATTGCTGAAAGAGTTACCTGACTGTGGTGGAAATGCCACTGACTACATGTTCTGTGATATTGATCCCAGCAAGCTGCTCCTTGAAGATGTAGGTCGCAGTTTCCATGGCAATTATTCATGTGAGGGCATGAATGAAGCTGGATGGGGGCCACTTTCACCAGATGAGGAACTTATGGTGTATTGTAAGTTTGCACTCTAATTCATTCAGATGTTTGAGCAGAGTTCAAGATATATACCTATAGTTCAGTGTTTCCCAGCCTATGTCCCTTGACTGCAGGTGTTCCAAAAAGGTTTTTTGGATAGTCTGTGGAAATTTCTGTTGAATGTGTTCCCCTTTGTATTGCAGCTCTTTTTATTCCATAATTTCTTGTTCTAGTTGTGTAGAATTGCAAAATGCGACGTTGTAAATATACTTATTATGATGTTCATTTATATTTACTTCAAAATTGTTTCTTGTACAAATGTTGAAAATAATTCTCAAGAAAATTTAATAAAATCAATCAGGTAACCTTGGAACAGATAAAAATATGTACAATATATTGAAATTATAGATGAAATTGTTGGGAAATGGGAGTACAATGATAGGTACAAGAGGTTTCATAAACTTTAAGAAAGCCTCTGATTCAGTTAGGAGGGAAGTATTGTACAATATAATGATAGAGTTTGGGATACCCATGAAACTAGTTAAGCTGATTAAAATGCGTTTAAATGAAACATATAGTAGAGTTCATATAGGTAAAATTTTTCTGATAATTTTCCTATCCAGAATTGTCTAAAACAAGGAGATGCTTTAGTGCCACTGCTTTCTAACTTTGTTTTAGAATATGCCATTAGGAAGGTCCAGTAAAACCAGGTGGGACTGAAATTAAATGGAACACATAAGCTGCTAGTCTAAGCTGATGATGTGAATTTACTGAGTCATAATATAAATACCATGAAGAAAAACACACAAACTTTAATTGACACTAGTAAGGAGGTTGTGTAGAAGTAAACAACAGTACATGTTGCTGTATCGTCACCAGAATGCAGGGCAAATATGATATAAAGGTAGTTAACAGATGTTTTGAAAATGTGACACAGTTCAAGTATTTGGGAATGACAGTAATAAATCAAAATTTGATTCAGGAAGAAATTAAGAAGAGATTGAATTCGGGAAATGCTTGTTGCCATTCAGTCCAGAACCTTTTGTCTTTTAATCTGCTATCTAAAACATAAAAATTAGAATATACAAAATTATACTTTTGCCTGTGATTTGTATGGGTGTGAAACTTGGTCTCTGACATTAAAGGAGGAACACAGACTGAGGGTGTATGAGAACAGGGTGCTGAGGACAATAGTGAGACCAAAGAGGGATGAAGAGACAGGAGAGTCTGGAGAAAAATGCATTACTTGTACCTGATGAAGATACCAAGTATAATTAGAATGATGAAGTCAAGGAGGATGAGATGGGTAGAGCATGTTGCCTGAATGGGGTTGAAGAGGAATGAATACAGGATATTGGTGGGAAAGCCAAAAGGAAAGAGACCACTAGGAAGACAAAGATATAGGTGGGTGGATAGTGTTAAAATGGATCTTAGAGAGATAGGATGGTGTGGTATGGACTGGATTGATCTGGCTCAGGACAGGGACCAGTAGAGGTCTCTTGTGTACATGGTAATGAACCTTCAGATTCCATAAAATGCTGGGTAATTCTTGAATAGTTGCATAATTACCGGATTCTAAAAAAGGGCTTAGCTCCATGGAGTTAGTTAGATATATCTATTGAAAATGGTTAAATAAATGATCAAGTGAAGTAACTGTTTTTGTCAGACATAGATAATATATGTAAGTAAATGTAGTTAATAAGTTTGTTTTTCAAGGACAGGAAGGGTTGCCAAGTGATCCACATAATTGAGACACTTAGGAAACGCTGCTGTAATTTATTGTGTTCATTTCAGGCCTTTCAGTAACTTATATAAAAGTGTTCTTTAAATTTGTCTACACAACACAGTAATAACTTCTGACAAAATTTCCCATATAATAATTATTGCTGGCATATTTCTGTACTGATGACTTGTGTGTGTGTATTTCACTTTTAAAATTATGAAAAATAAGTAAGCTGCACACAATGATAGTGGCAAAACCTTGTGTATGTGAGAGTTACTTTTATTAATAAAAATTTACATGCTGAACTTGTAAAGAAATAATTTCAAAATATGTATGACTTCAGAAAATTTCAACAAATTACAAAGTGTAATTATACTGATAATGTACAGTGTATGAAATGTATGTAGGTAAGTCAATAAGGAAGTTACAAATGGATATAGAACTTAAACAAATAAAGAGTACTGATTTGAAAAGTGCTTTTATTTCTCAACATAATCTCCCTGTATACTGAGGCACTTGTCCCATCGTTTCACAAGTCCCTGAAAACCAGCATAAAATTCTTTGGGCTGCTGTCGGAACCAGGTCGTGACTGGGATCACGAAGGCATACTGCTCACTGCATTCCAGCCTCAAGGACAAACCGTAAATGCCAGCTCCTACTGTAACATCCTGTAACTTCGTAAGGCCATTCAACGGAAGCAACCAAGACTCATCACCAAAGGCATGTTGCTCTTGCGTGACAACGCGTGTCCCAATACTGCCAACAAGCCAAATGAGACACTGCAAAATTTCAAGTGGGAAGTCCTCGAGCATCCTCCATATAAACCTGACCTTGCTCCAAGCGACTTCCATTTGTTCAGCCCTCTTATACATCATCTTTTGGCTGAACATTTTCCCGACGATGAAGCTGTAGAAAGGGAAGTTACCGCCTGGTTCCAACAGCAGCCCAAAGAATTTTATGCTGCTGGTTTTCAGGGGCTTGTGAAACGATGGCTTAAGTGCCTCAATGTACAGGGAGATTATGTTGAGAAAGAAAAGCATTTTTCAAATCAGTACTCTTATTTGTTTAAGTTCTATATCCATTTGTAACTTACTTATTGACTTACCCTCGTATATTATGGATACACTACTGGGTTTTTGGACTTTGTCCATTGTCTGCTACCATCCCTTATCTGAGGATCTTAACAAATCCAGCTTCTGAAACATTGTGTGCTTTTCTTTTTGTTTTTAGAATACCTGACACGCATACAATATTTTAATCAACAAAAACAGTGATTTGACTAAGGGCACAGAAGAGAAAGTCTACAGTGCAGTGGTCTCCCAAATAATAAGTGTTGCCTTATGATGTCCCATGTGTGGCTGAAACATGTAGCTCAAGAGAAGAATATATATCGTTAATGACATTTAAAATTCAATTTCTATATTAAAACCGTCACAACACAACTATATTAAGGTCAGTGCCTAGTTTGGCTCTGCTACATGTTTCAGCTATTAAAAGCCATCATCAGGCAAATACATGGCTAACATATATACACCACTGAACTGCAGTACTAATAAAATTGGATACAATAATATTAATTATATTAAAATACTTGGCATAAAAATACAATAAATTAGATTATATAAAACAAAAGTTATAGTATGAAACAAGAATAAAATTCTTCAAGTGATGCTTTACATCATCTAGTCAGTCGTTGGTTCCCACGGGGGGAACACAACAAAATCACAAAATCCAGTGACTGACTTGATGATGTAAAGCATCACTAGAAGAATTTTATTCTTGTTTTATACTACAACTTTTGTTTTATATAATCTAATTTGTAAGTGTTATTGTGACGGACCAGAATGAAACAAATCAAACTAATTTAATTTGTTTATACCAAGTATTTTAATATAATTAACATTATTGTATCCAATTTTATTAGTACTGCAGTTCAGTTGTGTATTAGCCATGTATTTGCTTGATGATGGCTTTTAGTAGCCGAAACATGTAGCAGAGCCAGGCTAGGCACTGACCTTGTTATACTTGTGCTGTGACAGTTTTAATAAAGAAATTGTATATTATAACACAACAGGGTGCAGGAAATGAAAATGACATTTAAAATATTTAACAAACACCTTTAGTGTATAAATATATTTTAGTGTCTTTTATGAAAGGTTGACTTTGTTGCATTATAGATGGAATACTTATGGTCTAGAAAAAAATAGTATTTTAATTAGTTCTTAAACAAATCATAAAGAGTTGAATTGAATTGAATTTATTTACATTCTATAAGTCCTGAGCAGGTTAGTACCTTTGGATACGGAACAAGTCAAAAGGTTACATACATAAGTACAGGCAATTTTAGCTTAAAAATTAATATAACTTAATTTTACATCATTCTCTATTTACATTGAAGTATTCATCTAAAGAGTAGAAGGAATGAGCATGTAGATAATTCTTTAACTCTGATTTAAACTTTTTAGTATCATTGCCCAAGTTTTTAATACTTTGTGGCAGATTGTTGAACACTTTTATGCCAGTAAAGTAGACTCCTTTTTGATATACTGATAAAGTTGATGAGGGTA